GATGTGAAAGCTCGCTCGAGTGTGTATTCCCTCGCTCGAGCGGACTGCAAATTTTAACAAAAGTACTGGATGCATGAATTTCATGCTCGACGGATGCTTGACCTCCACTCGAGCATGAGACTCAGACCTTCGCTCGAGCGTGAAGTTCCTCACTCAAGCGGACTGTAAAACATATGAACTTCTGGGTACATGCATTTCACAATCGAGCGTGACTCTTGTCGCTCGAGCGGAAGTGCACGTACTCAGAGTGCTCACTCGAGCGTGAAATCCCCCGCTCGAGCGTGGATCAAATTTCTAGAATTTCCAGATTTGATCTTCAAGTTCAAACTCAAGCATTAAAGCATCAAACTTCATTTTTTGGGGCCAAAACTTAAGGAAACACTTAGATACTTATAAAACAACATGTTTAAAGGATCATTTCAAGGAATCATGGCCCAATGACATGCCAATTGTACAAAATTCAACTTAAATTCAAGAATAATCCAAGAACATGATATGCATGAAATTCTTTGTACCAAAACTTCTCAAAACATTATCAAATTCCATAAAACAATTTGAAACTTGATGTTCTCCTTAAATTGAAGTGAATTTTAAACATGCATGAAAGAATTTCCTAGCAACATGTTCTCAATGCATTGAAATGTACATGCATGCATGAATTTGTCCTTAATTCCATCCGTTAGCCCAATTCTCATGCTAATTCACCTATCACAATTGATTTCATGCATCAATCAACTAACTACAAAGCTAGAGACTAACATTCTTACCTAAGGTTCTCAACTTCTTATGGTCAAAGACATTCTTGAGTAATTCTTCAAGGTCTCCTAGCAATTTCTTCTACCTTCAAGCTTGACCTCAATTTCCACCTCTCTCTCTCTCTCTCTCCCACGTTTGTGTGTGTGTGGAGGCTCAAAATGTGATGACTATTCAAGAAAAAAGGTGAGTGGAGCATGTAAGGAGCTTATAAGAGCTCACTTGGTAGCTATTAATTAAAACAAACTAAATGTGCATTAAATTAATCTAATTTAATCGTTCTAAATCGAATTCCAATTAAATTTACCATACAATTTTAAAAATCCTACATAACACACATATCAAATCAATTTCTGAGTCAGATGTCGTTAAGGCCTTCAATTTCACAAACCAAAACTAAAACATGAACATATCTTTCTACAGAAAACAGATATAACACTATAACGCAAAGCACACTTGCAAATTAATTCAGAATTCCTCTTTAATTACGGATTAAGCATAATTAAGCATGGATTTACATTAATCAGGGATCGAGGTTGTTACCGTCTTCCCCCCTTAAAAGAGTTTGGTCCTCTAAACTCGAATTACCTTCGTTCTGGATCAACATTGGGTCCAATGAGAACAAACCCGGATATCTCTTCATGTCTTCTTCGGTTTCCCATGTAGCATAAGTTCCTCCATGATTCTGCCAATCCACTTTCATTAACGGAATTTCTTTATTTCTCAATCTTTGATCTAGCGGTTCACGATCTGAATATGTCTTTCTTCGTAAGTATAGTCATCTTTAAAAAGCACATGTGTTGGTTCAATGACATGGAGTGGGTCTCTCAAATATTCTCGAAGCATCAATACGTGAAATACATGTGCATATGCATTACCGGAAGTAGGGCTACCCGATACGTTACCGGGTTGATCTTTTCAATAATTTCACATGGCCCAACATACCTTGGCGCCAATTTGCCCTTAACACCAAACCGTGTTTGTCCCTTCATGGGAGTCACCTTTATGAACACGTGGTCCCCAACTTCGTATTCTCTATCTCTTCTTCGTACATCTACATAGCTCTTTTGGCAGCTTTGTGCAATGTTCAACCTTTGTCGAATCAATTCCACATTTTTTTGTTGTTTCCTTCACAAGTTGGTCTCTCACCTACTTCAGCCCAACAGATAGGAGATTGGCATTTCCTTCCATACAAAGCCTCATAAGGAGCCATCTCAATACTTGAATGATAGCTGTTGTTATACACAAATTTGGCCAATGGTAAATAGGTCTCCCAATTTCTTTGGAAGTCTAAGACACACATCCTTAACATGTCTTCTAAAGTTTGATTTGTTCGTTCAGTTTGGCCATCTGTCTGTGGGTGATAGGCACTACTCAATCGCAATTCAGTCCCCAAGGCTTGTTGTAAACTCTGCCAAAATCTTGATGTAAACTTAGAATCTCTGTCAGAAACTATAGATACTAGTACACCATGTAATCTCACGATTTCATTTATATATATGTTAGCTAACTTGTCTGCATTATAAATAGATTTGACAAGTAGAAAATGAGCAGACTTAGTTAAACGGTCAACAATGACCCAGATAGAATCCATACTTCGGGAGGAGCGAGGCAATCCCACAATGAAATCCATGGTAATGTGCTCCCATTTCCATTCTGGTATTGGAAGTGGTTGTAACAAACCTGCGGGTCGTTGATGTTTAGCTTTAACTTGTTGGCAGTCTAAACATCTAGCCACAAAATCTGCAATACCCTTTTTCATTCCCGGCCACCATAAATTCTGCTTCAAATCATGATACATTTTTGTATTTCTTGGATGCATAGCAAATTTGGAGTTATAGGCCTCAGTCAGAATGCATTTCCTCAAATCATCATAGTCCGGCGCACAAAGGCGACCCTGAAATTTCAACATATTGTTCTCAAGTACAAACTCAGGCCTTGGTTTTGAGTCAATTTCATCCATGATCTTTCCCGGATGATATAGAATTTGCAAATCATAATCCTTGATCAATTCCAACCATCTCCTTTGTCTCATATTCAGTTTCTTTCTGAGTGAAGAAATATTTGAGGCTTTTGTGGTCTGTATACACTTCACAAGTTGCTCCATACAGATAATGTCGCCAGATTTTCAAGGCAAGCACCACAGCTGCCAATTCAAGATCATGTATTGGGTAATTCTTCTCGTGTGGACAAAGTTGCCGAAAGGCATAAGCAATTATTTTCCCATTCTGCATTAGCACACAGCTCAAACCTTTGTAGGAAGCATCACTGTAAATCTGAAATCCATCGGTATCATTAGGTAAAGTCAAGATTGGCGCAGTCACTAATCTGGTCTTCAACTCTTGAAAGGCTGACTCTCGTTGCTCATTCTAATTAAATGGCACATTTTTCTTAGTTAACTGAGTCAACGGCATGGCAAGTTTTGAAAAGTCTTTCACAATTCTCTTCTGTAACCTGCAAGTCCCAGAAAACTTCTAACCTCTGTCACATTTGTCGGTTTTGGCCAGTCCACGATAACTTCAATCTTCTGAAGGTCAACAGAAATACCATCCCTGGTGATTACATGCCCCAAAAATGTCATATTGTGAAGCCAAAATTCACATTTGGACAATTTAACATATAATTTCTTTTCTCTCAAGGTCTGTAGAGCAGTTCTCAAATGATTTTCATGATCTTCCGTGCTTCTGGAATAAATCAAAATATCATCAATAACCACAACCACAAATTCATCCAGAAATGGTTTAAACACTTTGTTCATGAGGTCCATAAAGGCAGCAGGTGCATTAGTCACCCCAAACGACATTACTAAAACTTCATAATGTCCATATCTAGTTTTGAATGCAGTTTTCTCTATGTCTTCTGCCTTAACCTTTAACTGATGGTACCCAGATCGGAGGTCAATCTTAGAAAACACTTGGGCTCCCTGGAGTTGATCAAACAAATCATCTATTCGGGGTAAAGGGTGTTTGTTCTTGATGGTTACTTTGTTCAATTCCCGATAATCTATACATAATCTCAAGGATCCATCATTCTTTTTGACAAGCAGGACTGGAGCACCCCAAGGTGAAGTGCTCGGGCGAATGAATTTAGTGTTTAATAGTTCTTGGAGCTGTGTTTTCAGTTCTTTCAATTCTGAAGTTGACATTCTGTAAGGGGTCTTAGAAATAGGTTGTGTTCTCGGAATTACCTCAATAGTGAATTCAATTTCCCTATCAACTAAGTCCCCAGGTAAGTCATTTGGGAATATATCGGGAAATTCACACGCAACAGGAATAGTTTCCACATTAGCATGGTCAGATGGTGTAGTCAGTATACAACACAGGTAACCACTACATCCCTTCCTAAGCAATCTCACAGCCTTCATGGGCGAAATCAAGTATGGGGGGGGGGAACTACCCCATTTCCAGTAAAAATAAATTCAGGCATATCCGGTGGTCTAAACACAACAGATTTACTAGCACAGTCAATAGTAGCACAATATTTAGTCAATCAGTCCATACCCAGAATATAATCAAAATGATCAATGTTCAAGGGCAACAAGTCAACATACAATATCATATCGCCAACCATAATGTCACATGCTGGATAAACATAAGTACATAACGTAGAACCCCCAGACGGTGTAGAAACAGATAACACATATGTCATAAGCTCTAGTGGTCTAGTTAAATTCCGAGATAAAGCATACGATACGAAGGAATGCATAGAACAGAATCTATCAATACACATGCATTTTGAGAACATATAGGGAGTATACCTGACACTACAGTTTCGATGTTCTGTACATCACTAGGCACTAAGGCAAAAACTCGACCTTGTTTCAAAGTTTCTTTCCCAATATTAGCCTTTGTATTTGTTTTTACTGTAGAAGCAGACCCGGCTGAACTCATCATAAGACGGTTGGCATTTTCGGACCCAAGTGGGCAATCCTTCACTACATGACCTGTCTTGCCACATCGAAAACAAGCACCGAATGCTCGATAACACACACCCCTATGCCTTCTTCCACAGTCAGGACAAACCGGAATAGACCCACTGCTCTGGCTCGAACTGCTTGTAGATCCCATATTTTGTTTCTTATTTACATAAGAATGGCCTTTTCTGAAACCATACCCAGACCTTTTTCCTCTCCAATCAGTTGTTGTTGCGGCTGGGGCCTTACTTTGCTTCATAGTGGCTAGGGTGGCTTCCGCCATTAAAGATCTATCAAGAACTTGCACGTATGTTGGCAACTTTAGTACTCCAACTCAATCAAATATGTCCAAGTCAAATCCTCCCTCAAATTTGCGAGCTTTCTTGTAGTCTGTGTCCACCATATAAGGAACAAATCTGGCTAATTCGGTGAACTTTGCCTCGTACTCGACTACAGACATTCTGCCTTGTTTAAGTTCTTGGAACTCAAACACTTTTCGATTCCGAAAACATTGAGGAAAATACTTTTCATAAAAGATCTCATTAAATCGAGCCCACATCATGTTCCCATCGGTATTCCGAATTAGGAACCACCATCTTCGAGCTTCGTCTTTCAGAGTATAGGTGGCCAGTAAAACCTTCGAAATCTCAGTACAGGGAAATACATCAAACAGTTTTTCCATTTCGAGCAACCATGTTTCTGCTTTTAATGGTTTAATTCCACCAAAGAATGTTGGTGGTTTCATTTTCATAAATTTCTGAGTCAAGTTGATAATGTCATTATTTTCTGCTTCGGCTTGTGCCGGCAAGGGTGGAGGGGGCGAATGTTGTTGTCTTTGCTGTTGTGTCATAGCTTCAGTCAGCGCCACAAGCATTTGTTCCATCTGCTCATGCGAGCCTCTGAAGATTCACTTACATCATTTCCCCTTGCATTCTCCATGTTGTTATAGAGACATCAAATGATAATAAACATTGGAATAATCGCATTCTTTTCTTTCAATTTATTTACTCAGGTTTATACTTAATTTTCATATCCTTTTAGATTACCACACACTCACACATGCAGATGGAATGCCCATAATTCTTACTAGGACATCCTAAGCTCATATGGACCTATGTGTGTGGGAGGACATGTGCTCTTATACCACTCTATCACGACCCAAACCTGCCCCTATAGGTTTAGTATCGCAACCGGTCAATAATCCTTGGATTACCCAAGGCCTCATGACAGATTAACATATGGATAAGGGCTGCGGAAGCAAATGTACAAAAATAGACAAGGTCCAATGAGCTGTGATGACATACATGGAACAGAAAAGCTTGAAACTTTTATAAAATGCGAGCGAAGTCAACACACATAATATATACACAACGCACTAAGGCGTACATGACAAAAATCTCCCCCACAACTTAACAACAAGCATAGTCTAATACAGATTACAAAAACAGCCACAAAACCAAACTTCATCAGGAACCTCCTCGGGAGGCGCAAGGGTTGGCTGACAAAACGGAAGCGTGGGCTGTCAACTCTGGCCCTGATCATGTACCGACTCACCTACATACATAATATAAACAGTGAGCGGAAGCCCAATAAATAATAATGGAGTAAAGGATTTTAATGAATGAAGTTCATGCAGATTCAAAAATCATAAATCAGATTCAAGTTCATAATCATGTTCAGATCATATACAAAAATCGTAAGTCATGCTCAATCATACGTGGTACATCCATTAGCGCTAATAGAGAAGATACATAACAGATGCAGAACATGTGGTGGTTATGAATAACCAGTTCCATAAAGGAACCTCCGGATTCGGGTAACAGAGGATAAACATACTGAGCCCCATGATGGAGCCTCCAGTACGGATAACAGATGACAAACATAATAAGTTCCAATGAAACCTCGGATACCGGGTAATAGCTAATAGATATCACATGGTGCTAAGGATGCCACGAACACATGTCAGAAATTGGACAATCATTCATTGTACAGAACATAACATTTAAGAAAATAGATCTTAATTCTTCGTACATAAAATAGATAAAGTTGAATATAACTTTACTAAGTTATTACTCACAATTGGCTTCAGGTGCAGACAGACAGACAGAGCAGACTAATCAACAGTTTATGACATGTGACCTACACGAACATATAATAAACGCATACTTGAAACACACGTTCAAAACGCACACACCTTACTTTATTTGTTCTTAGTGTGTTTCTAGCCTTTAATCTCATTATGGAGTCTTAATCATGGCCTAGGAATGCCTAGGATGGAAAGAGGACACAAAATGCACTTGGAAACTTTTCTCAAATTTTGTTGAAAATAGGGTCCATGCTTGAGCGTGGCTTTCCCCGCTCGAGCGGACATGCAGGATGTGAAAGCTCGCTCGAGTGTGTATTCCCTCGCTCGAGCGGACTGCAAATTTTAACAAAAGTACTGGATGCATGAATTTCACACTCGACGGACACTCGACCTACGCTCGAGCGTGAGACTCAGTCCTTTGCTCGAGGGTGAAGTCCCTCGCTCGAGCGGACTGCAAAACATATGAACTTCTGGGTACATGCATTTCACGCTCGAGCGTAACTCACGTCGCCCGAGCAGAAGTGTACATACTCAGAGTACTCGCTCGAGCGTGGAGTCCCCCCGCTTGAGCGTGAATCAAATTTCTAGAATTTCCAAATTTGATCTTCAAGCTCAAACTCAAATATTAAAGCATCAAACTTCATTTTTCTAGGCCAAAACTTGAGAAAACACTTAGAAACTCATAAAACAACATGTTTAAAGGATCATTTCAAGAAATCATGGCCCAATGACATGCCAATTGTACAAAATTCAACTTAAATTCAAGAATAATCCAAGAACATGACATGCATGAAATTCTTTGAACCAAAGCTTCTCAAAACATGATCAAATGCCATAAAACAATTTGAAACTTGATGTTCTCCTTAAATTGAAGTGAATTTTAAACATGCATGGAAGAATTTCCTAGCAACATGTTCTCAATGCATTGAAATGTACATGCATGCATGAATTCTTTCTTAATTCCATCCTTTAGCCTAATTCTCATGCTAATTCACCTATCACAATTGATTTCATGCATCAATCAACTAATTACAAAGCTAGAGACTAACATTCTTTCCTAAGGTTCTCAACTCCTTATTGTCAAAGACATTCTTGAGTAATTCTTCAAGGTCTCCTAGCAATTTCTTCTACCTTCAAGCTTGATCTCAATTTCCACCCCTCTCTCTCTCTCTCTCTCTCTCTCTCTCCCACGTTTGTGTGTGTGTGGAAGCTCAAAATGTGATGACTATTCAAGAAAAGGGTGAGTGGAGCATGTAGAGAGCTTATAAGAGCTCACTTGGTAGCTATTAATTAAAACAAACTAAATGTGCATTAAATTAATCTAATTCAATCGTTCTAAATCGAATATTGATTAAATTTGCCATAAAATTTTATAAATCCCACATAACACACATATCAAATCAATTTCCGAGTCAGATGCCGTTAAGGCCTTCAATTTCACAAACCAAAACTAAAACATGAACAGATCTTTCTACAGCAAACAGATATCACACAATAACGCAAAGCACACTTGCAAATTAATTCAAAATTCCTCTTTAATTACTGATTAAGCATAATTAAGTTTGGATTTACATTAATCAGGGATCGAGGTTGTTACAGTCTCCCCCCCTTAAAAGAGTTTGGTCCTCCAAACTCGAATTGCCTTCGTTCTGGAACAACATTAGGTCCAATGGGAATAAATTTGGATATCTCTTCATCATGCCTCCTTCGGTTTCCCATGTAGCATAAGTTCCCCCATGATTCTGCCAATCCACCTTCACTAACGGAATTTCTTTATTTCTCAACTTCTTGATTCGTCGGTTTACAATCTGAATAGGTCGTTCTTCATAAGTGTAGTCATCACTCAGCACTACACGG